CTGTCTCTGAGTTTTGTAGAAGTACATATATTTTCAGGAAATTTGGAAGGCTAAGTATGACTATGAAATTAATTCTGGGATAATCTATCTGATTATCCCAAGATGGGCACCTCAAACCAATTCTTTTGAACCAACTCTCTCAACCATAATTCAATCCAGTTCTTCCTTTTTGATTCCAGAGTTAATTCCTGAAAGTTCTGGTAGTCTATCTTTTGATCTTCACCTATTTATAACTGTTCATCAAGCTATCTCAACCCACTCTTGACCCCCCCTTATCTCTCTTTTTACATCTGACCCTCTCTCTCTCTCTCTTTGCATCTGACCCCCTCTCTCTCTCTCTTTGCCTCCGACCCTCTCTCTCTCTTTGCCTCCGACCCTCTCTCTCTCTCTCTCTCTCTCTCTTTGCCTCCGACCCTCTCTCTCTCTCTCTCTCTCTCTCTCTTTGCATCCGACCCTCTCTCTCTCTCTTTTGCATCCGACCCCCTCTCTCTCTCTCTCTGCATCTGACCCTCTCTCTCTCTTTGCATCTGACCCTCTCTCTCTCTCTCTTTGCATCTGACCCTCTCTCTCTCTCTCTTTTTGCATCTGACCCTCTCTCTCTCTCTCTCTCTCTTTTTGCATCCGACCCTCTCTCTCTCTCTCTCTGCATCCGACCCTCTCTCTCTCTCTCTTTGCATCCGACCCTCTCTCTCTCTCTTTGCATCCGACCCTCTCTCTCTCTTTGCATCCGACCCTCTCTCTCTCTCTCCCTCTCTCTCTCCCTCTCTCTCTGCATCCGACCCTCTCTCTCTCTGCATCCGACCCTCTCTCTCTCTCTCTCTTTGCATCCGACCCTCTCTCTCTCTCTCTCTCTCTCTCTCTCTTTGCATCCGACCCTCTCTCTCTCTCTTTGCATCTCTCTCACTCTCTCTCTCTGTCACTCTCAATCTCTTTATATCTGTCTCTCTCTTTGTATCTACCTCTGTCACTCTTTGTATCTGCCACTCTCTCCCTCTCTGATTCTGCTTATCTCTCTTTGTATCTGCTACCTCCCCCTCTCTCTCTCTCTCTATATATATATATATATATATATATATATATATAAAATCTTCCCCTCTCTCTCTGTATCTACCTCTATCTTTATATCTGCCTCTCTCTTTTTGTATCTGCCACTCTCTCTCTCTCTCCCTCTTTTTGTATCTGTCACTCTCTCTCTCCCTCTTTTTGTATCTGCCACTCTCTCTCCCCCCCCCTCTCTGATTCTGCCTACCTCTCTACTTTTCTCCCTCTATCTGATTCTGTCTATTTCTTTCTCTTTGATTCTCCTCAAAGTGTCCAACTTCCGATCATTTCTTTCCAACCTTAACCTTAACCAGTTCAACCTTTCCAATTCTCAGGTTTTCTATGACTTAAACAATGAATGGTCTGGCAGATCTGATGAGTGCTTCTTTCCCCTAAATTTGTATCGCATAGCGCTTAAACTGAAGCTCAACTTCTTGTTTACTTCTCCAACAATGCGTCTCTAAACGAGACTCACTTTACACGGATTTTGTTTGTAAGATTTGGTTTCTTCTATATAGTTTTTCATTATTTCAAGGTATTGTTATACTGGCTGACATTCACCAATCTACACAATAGTTGAATATACTTACTATCTAGTGGTTTACATTCTTGCCCAACTACTAACCACCCCTATCAGAAGGCCAGTTTCTCATGTTGCAGTTTTAGGTTGGATGAATAATATACCACAATCAATATCAATATAGGACCAGCAATTCTGTAGCCAGTACTTGTTCAAAAGCAGAGAAGCCAAGTAAATAGTAGGAAAGGATGATGTCTACTTCAGGACCAGCAATTCTGTAGCCAGTACTTGTTCAAAAGCAGAGAAGCCAAGTAAATAGTAGGAAAGGATGATGTCTACTTCAGGACCAGCAATTCTGTAGCCAGTACTTGTTCAAAAGCAGAGAAGCCAAGTAAATAGTAGGAAAGGATGATGTCTACTTCAGGACCAGCAATTCTGTAGCCAGTACTTGTTCAAAAGCAGAGAAGCCAAGTAAATAGTAGGAAAGGATGATGTCTACTTCAGGACCAACAATTCTGTAGCCAGTACTTGTTCAGATGTGTAGAATCAAAGCAAATATTGTGAAATACTACTGGCTACTTTTTGATATTCATTCCCTATGAAATTATATATATATATATATATATATATATATATATATATATATATATATATATATGTGTGTGTGTGTGTGCAGATATGTAGAAAAATAGGAAAGAACACGTTAGGTAAATAATCCAGAGTTCTTTAGTATTTTTGCTTTTATTTTTAAAAAACAGTGCTCCATACAGAAGTAGAACTTAAATTATAATTATTTAAAAAAAAAATATGATTCATAATACATAAGAATTCTCATGTTTCAAAAACAAGAGCCGAAAACCTCAATATAATTATTAAAATTAAATTGAATTAAAGTATCAAGCCCTGTTTTATCCTCAAGTGAAAATTTAGGAACCCTTTCGCTTGAGTATGAAACAGGGCTTGATACTTTAATTCAATTTAATTTTAATAATTGAGGTTTTCGGCTCTTGTTTTTGAAACATGAGAAATCTTATGTAGCGAAGGAATCATATATTTTTTTAAAATAATTATATTATATATATATATATATATATATAATTACCTGAATAGGATGAAAGATTAGGTGTATTACCACAGCAATTTCTACTAGATAATACAAACTGTTTCTTTCTGAACAGATTTAGTCTTACAAAAGGTCAATTTCATTTAGCCAAAAAAAATCTCCCTTTGTCTATTAATATGACTTATTTCATTTAAGTGATGCAATAGGTTTCTGTTAGATCAAATTAGGTTTTGTACACAGTGAGAAACAGACTTTATGTAATTCATTTTTCAGACTAATCACTCCATAATAGCTTTTTCAAAATAATTAAAAAAACTTTTTTTTTTGTTTTCATTTTAATAATTAGAATTCTTAAGTCAGAGATTTTTACTTAGTCCTTTTAGGCCTCTCTGTTTTGTAAGAAAGAAACTTCATTTTTAACTTTTCAAGAAATATATTCTTCATGACTTAAAATTTTTTACTATAGAAATTATTAATATTTCAAGAATAATGCTGTGCAGCCTGTACTAATAGCATCATCTAAGGTGAGAGCCATAATCATCTAAGGCAAGGCCCGTACTAACGGCGCCCTCTAAGGCGAGGCATGTACTAATGGGGATCCTATAAGGCACCGACTATAATGCTGTTTAGACAGATTGTCCCAAAAATTGACTAATACTTTAAAAAAGAAAATATCTACATAAAACATAATTAATAAAAATAGATGAATTTAAAACAAAAATGAATGTGAAAGCTGAAAAACAATTGCATTTAATCTGGAATGTAAGTGTGTTTATATAATAATAATAATAATAATGATGATGATGAAAAGAAGGACAGAAAATTGTTGAAAGTAATGATCACCATGTCCTGAAGGGACATGGCACATAGAAGAACAACTTTTGTTATCCACCTCCCCTTGTGTTTTTGTGTGTGTATATATATATATATATATATATGTATCTTTCTTTTCAGCATTCTTTCAAAATAACTTTGCTAACAGTTTGTTGTCTACTTGACTAACAAAAAGTTAAGAATCTAGAAAACTCTTTAAATTAATTTAGGAAATTAAAAATTGTAAGATTTTTATTTTTCTTTTGTTTGTTTTTTTTGTGTTTTTTTTTTTTAATTTTTTGATTGTTTTTTTTTTTCCTTTCCTTTTTATTAAACAGACAAAATAATAATTGGCATCTCTTTGCAAATAACAAAAACAAAACAAAAAAAAAAACTAAAAACAAAATCATCTAGATTAGCTCCCCAAAATAAGAATATCGAGTTTTTATTATGTGTGTTATTTTAGTGCAAGAAAAATGCAATCCTTACCCAAATATAACTTAAAATAATGATTTTGCTGATTATCATATCACATGATTTTTCTTTTTAGATTTTTTTAAATTTAAAAACATTTCTTTTTCTGTTACATGCCATATCAAGGCATGTTTTTTTATTATTAGATTCAGGTGACGAGTCTGTACCAATTCTGTGTTTGTCAAAGTCTTTGCGGTATATATCTTAAACCTGTAAGCTTTTTAATATACATTTCCCGAAAAGACAACCAATTTTCTAGATTTTCCTTATCGGCCTTTATGAATTATCTTTTTGAAAAGGTGCAACATGGAAACTATATTGAACAAAATACAGCTTATGAAATTTAAGACGGTTTTGTAATCCAGGTGGAACTTTGCAGTATCATTTTATTCATACGTGAACTGAAATCTAACGGAATTGAAATTAGTTTGTGCTTAAATATTTAGTGTGATAAAATTCCAATAAATTTCTGTGTATGTTGCCACAAATCATATTGCTTCCAGTTGCAAGAAAGTCTTTAAATTTCTATTATGACAAAAACAAAAACTGTAATACAAGCCTGTTTTTCAATTTATTTATTTTTAGTTTCAGTTAAAATGATTAAAAAAAAAAAGGAAAAAAAAGAGGTTGGTAGAAAGATAAATAAATTGATTTTTGGATCAGGAAGGGTTTTTTTTTTTTTTTTTTTTTTTTTTTTTTTTTTTTTTTTTTTTTTTTTTTTTTTTTTTTTTTTTTTTTTTTTTTTTTTTTTTTTTTTTTTTTTTTTTTTTTTTTTTTTTTTTTTTAAAAAAGAGTCAGTTTTTAATAATTATTAGCATCATAAAAAATAATCTAATATTGCTGAAGGAATTGGCCATTTGAAATATTATGATGCTAAGAACTAATGATAAAAAAAAAAAAATCTAGTTTGGAAACAGAACCCTCAAGTTAAGAATACATCCTAGTAAATGGTGTGTCAAAGTGGGAGATGGGGAAGGGTGCCTGGATGTGTTGGTTTTTCATCTGTCTATCACACCCAAATTTTTTTTCCATGCCATTTAGTGTTTTTATCCTTTGACAGTTTTCGCAACCACTTTTTACCTGTTCTGATCTCATTTCATCTCAATTTATTAACGGAATGCAGGCAGGTGAAAAAAAAAAAAAAAAAAATTTGTAAAAAAGCAGTTTTTTTTTCTTTTTTTATATGCATGTATCTAAATATTGGATTTTTTTTTTCACTTTTTTAAAAATTGTTTTCTCTATTTTTTTTTTTTTTTTTTTTTTTCATGGTTGAACTAATTTTATTTTTAAAACATGTCTTCAACTTCATAATCTTTTTCGTATAATAGAAAAATTTTTTTATTTATTTTTTTTTTATTGAATGCTAAAATTAAAATTTTTAAATGCATTTGGAAACATTCTATTTTTTTCTTTTATTAAAGGCTTAATTTTATTTCACAATTAAAAAAGATTTTGTCGTGAATTTATTCAGATAAATATTTAGTATCAATTTTTTTATCTTAAAAAAAAAAAAAATCTTCCTAGCTTCCCAAAATGGCTTCTGTGCAGACTTTTCAAACTCCAAAATTCAACTGACTCCAAAGTCCTTAAATCACCCAAGAGATCCATTTTCCATTTCTCATCACCAAAATCCGCTCAACATTCTCAACAGTTTGTACATAAAATGTGAATTGTTTTTTTTTTTTACTTGACCTCATATCCTGACAATTTATTTTTAAAACTTTCAACTTGGAATTCTCTGCATTTTAGAAACAATATAAAATTTCATTGGACATGGCTTTGTAGAATATTAAACAAAAATATAAAAATGATTAAAGATTTACTAATCACATTTTTATTAATTTCTTGTATGAATCTTGATATGGAACACAAATTTTTAAAAAATTGAAGCCATTTTTATTCATGAATATTTTTCTATTTTTTAAAGTTGAATTGTATAAATATCTTAGATTTAATTTTTGATATTTGACAATATTTTTTTCTTTTATTCTTAATTCTTTTTTAATGGTTATAAGGGAAAATTTTCCTATTTTACAAAAATTTTAGATGATGAAACGGATTTAGGTTTTACTGTTGAGTAAAAAATAAGACTTAGATTGTTTATCAATGTTATTTGTTGTGAAAACTTATTGGGTGTTTTATTTTATTTTAATTTTTTTATTATTATTATAAAAAAGATTGTTAAAATTGAAAGATTTTTAAAAATCTGTATTCAAAATATGAGGCCAAGTCTAAAAAAAAATCTTTAAAAAGAAAAGTTTTAAAAACAAAAACAAAATAAAATGATAAAATATAAATATCTGGTATTGGACGAAATTCTCTTGTAATGTGTCCGACCCGTGGAACATTGTGCAATGTCCATGACGGATTCCTATATCTAAAAAAAAAAAAAAAAAATTACTTTTATGTTCTCACTGAATTTCTATTGATCTGTCATAATTGTTTCCCTCTTAAGATATATATATATATATATATATATATATATATATATATAATATTCTTAACTACTGACTACATATTTAAAACTGAAACCATAGATTTGCTTAGAAACTGGTTAAAATATCCTTAAGATGGGGAACAATATCTATTTAAATGTTTTTCCAGAAAATATACACATACACACACACATATATATATATATATATATATATATATATATATATATATATAAAAAAAAATTCTATAAAATAATGTTAACGTTTGCTGCCAATTCTTGCAGACTTGGAGGTAGACATTATGTTAAATGTATATTTCTTTCCATTTATACACAGTTAAATATATTTCAGAGCTAACATGTTTCAGCAAACTTTGACCTCTGCCTGTAAAAAAAAAAAATAAATAAATAAAAAAAGGAAAAAAAGATGGCGTGTTAAAAGGACGGTCTTTCCCTTGAAAGATTATTTTAACTAGCTTCACTCATTGCGAATGTTTGTTTAAAAAAAACGATTATTAGAATTTTAATAAAACCTAAACATATTAAAGTGAATTTATATATTTTCTTTGTTCTTGAGAATCGACAACAAAAATATTAAACATTATTTATTTATGAGATTGTTTTTTTTTTAATTGTTTATTGGAATGGTTGGTAAAACACCAGTTAATTGAATCAAATTTTATAAAATGGTAAACCATAATATTTCTTTATAGTTGATACACACATTTTTATATTTTAGTAAATGTTTATAAATTTATGAATAAAAATTTTCATGTTTCTTTATAAATTGGTAAATGATAAATATTCCATTGCATTAATTCTAATTGCTAATATACAATTATTCTTGTAAATAAACAATCTAATAAATAAATAGTGTTTATTGTTTTTGTTGTCAATTCTCAAGAACAAAGAGATGTATAAGTTCACTTTCATATGTTTAGGTTTTATTATAATTCTAATCATCACTTTTTAAAACAAACATTGCTGAGGAGTGAAGGTAGTTAAAATAATAGCGGCGTTAAGGGAAAATCATTCTTTTGACATTCTTTTTTTTTGTTTTTGTTTTTTTTGTGGCACAAAGATCCAAGTTGGACCATGTTTTTATCTTGTCTGCATTTGTTTTTTCTGTATATAGACTGAGAAATTTTTTTGTCTACTGTTATTGGCCTTGAACCCAAATGGAAGGTAACATTTTTTTTTTTTTTTTTTAATTGAAAACCAGTCAATATAAAATACTTTATTTTTTGAAAATAGACATTCAAGATCCAGAAGGTTTCTTTAGACTCTTCTGTATATCTCAGTTTGCAAATTGATGGCTTCTCTTTAATAATCTTCTCTTTTATTTAAAAGTGTGAGCAGTTGGCATAATGTATAGTGGCTCATACCGAAAAATCAGAGCTGAGTTCAAATTTCAGTCGAGTTTGTTATATTCACATATATCTATCTCACTCCACCATCTATGGGTTAAATAGTAGAGTAGACTGATCTCTTTACTCAATGTAATTTAAATCTGGTGGACACGGAGACCAGTGTAGTCAGCTGAGAGTTTATGTCACATGTGCATAATTGTGTTATTTTTTTGCAGAAATGGAGAGCTAATTTTGTTACATTCATTTAAGTGCAAATACCCTTGGGAAAGGTATGAATCCATCTCTTCTCCCCTCAGCTATGGGTTAAATAGTAGAACTTGTATCTGGAAAAAATTGTTAATGCAATATTCATTTATCGAAAAAAAAAAAATTCTTACAATCTAAAATATATTTCAACTTTAAATGACCCACAAAGAGTTGATAAACTGTGAAAAAACAAATGCGTAAACCAATTTCTTGTTATGAAAATGTTAATCAAAATATTCCAATCATCTGATCTGTGTTAATTTAAAATATTTAAGCCATTATTTCTCCGTTTTCAACATTTTGCATTTATTCACCAGTAAATCTGTGTGAAGATATTTGATATTATTTTTATTGAATAAAAAAAGATGACCATATTCCCTTTTACATGAAACATTTTCTTTATTGTTTGATTTATAATAATAATAATAATAATAATAAACATTTTCTTAATTTAGATATTCTTTTTTCTCAATATTCTTACCCTTTAGAGAACTGTTGTATTGTGGAACGGACTCCCAAGAGGATGCTTCCCCAATCACTACAATCTGGGTTTAAATATTTGATCTATTCATAAGATAATCATATTTTGTGTAATAGATATACCTGTGAAAAGTGAAACTGAAAAATGGAGTTCAAGTTCTGGCCTAGTCTGTAGCATTCACTTTCACACAAATGACCTTGGGGTAAAAGCACGAATACATCTCTTCTCCTCTCCAGCTATGGGTTAAATAGTTAAGTAGACTAGGCTCTTAGGCCTTGGTTGGCAGCCACTCTAGGAGAAGAACTCTGAATTCTGAACTATAGAGAAAACAATGGGGGAATCACTCCACTGCTTTCAAAGAATCTATGGCAATTTACTAAAGAAAAGGAACATGTGAATAGCCATGATCGTCTATGTTCAAAAAAGGTATGGCATTACAAAATAGGTTTCAAATTTTTTGCCCTATCGTTTTTAGGCCCAATGTAAGAAAAAAAAAAAATCTTTATTTTATTTTTTAAATCCAAAGAAGATTAAAAACTTTGTGCTTAATCCAGATTAGAATTCTGAAGGAAAATCCTGGTTTCTCCAGAATTTAATTCTATGGGTGCAGAGGTCATACAAAAGGTCAGTCCAAAAGGATTGGCAGATATTTTGTGAGGAGCAGATATTGCAATTTTGAGAGGTTTCTTTTATTTTAGCTACAAGATTTTTCTGAAGCCAAAGTTATATTAAATTTTTGAATCAAAAGTTAAGAAGAGTTTGTTGTCTTAGCAAAAATTGTTGGAAATACTAAATGCAGAGAGGTCTAAGGTTTTTTTTTATTTTTATCAAAAGGTAAATATAGCAATATCGGTATCAACTGATATCTTGTTAAATGGAAACACCTGACGGATGTTACAGAAATTGTTTTCACAGTTATTGTCTTAAGTGAAGTGAACCACACAAGAAACAAGGGAGATCACTTAGTGAAGTGAACCTCACAAGAAACAAGGGAGATCACTTAGTTGGGATTCACTTAAAATTGGTATGAAACATACTCTCTAGTAGTTCTCAACCAGGGTACATATGGACCCTGGGGGACCATGTAAAATTACAGGAGTCCACACAAATAAATAGCAAATATTTTAAACTGGTATATTCTGAGTTATTTTACTAGTGTACATAAATGTTCCACAGAATTTAGTTCTTAAATACAAGTTTAATTTCCTTAAATTAGATTTATTTAAAAATAAAGCATATACATTTACTATTTCTATAATACAATCCCTAAACTTATCTATTAGTAAAAAAATATAAAATAATTTTTTTTTTTTTTTTTTTAATCAAATGGTTAGGGGTGGGTTCCACCAAAAGTGAAAAAAAAAGTTTAAAAAGTGGCTCATGGGTAAATAAAAGGCTGAGAACAACTGATTATAAATATAACAAAAATAATTTCAGGAATTACATGACAAGGTTTTTAATCAAACAAAAATTATTCAAAATGGTTTTTCAAAAACAATTTAGCTTGTCCTAATTATACACCATAGTTGCTTAAAGTTTATTATTGTTAACTTTGAAG